AAATCTCTATGATTATTGCTATCAATTTCCCCTTTAAATATAGCGTCTATTTTGTATATTACTACAGTGATGATGTTTTGTACATATGTGAATAAAGTTTGAATTTTTCAGGGTTTTCTTGTCAATAATTTGTCGGGTTTATTTTTAAAAAAATTCAAGGAATCTTATGGATATTATTATAGTAACTCGCTTTCACCATGGTGGTAAATTTGTGGAAGACACATCTAGTGGAGGTCTCACTTACAAAAAGGAAAGTGAAGTGGAATATGTAGGTATTGATAAAGACCACTTTTCTTTAATGGAATTGCTTTTTTATACTAGAGATCTGGGGTATGTTACTGTGGGTGGATTTTATTTTAAAGACCCTACAACCAATAACTTTGTCTTAGTGGACAACGATTTCAGCTTACTAAACCTTATAAAAAACCTAGGTGATGGTGACTTTTTGGACTTGTATGCTCAACATGTTGTGGATGAGGTAGAGGTTATTAAAGATGGGGTCTCTACAGGTTATCTTTGTGGGCCAACAGTTGGTGAAAATGTTAATGAAGATGGGGTAGAAAACTCACAGAATATTAATGTGGATGAAGGGGCCCAATCTGAGAATATTAATGTTGAAGTTGGTGTAGATGATGCATCAGATCTTGAAGGTATTGAAACAAATTGGGATATTAGTGATGATTCACAAAAGTTTGTTATTCCAGATGATGATGACTCAGAGATTGATGAAGAGTTGAGAACTCTTAGAAATGAAAGGAGAACCAAATTGCAGAGGAAAAAACATGTTCCTACAGAGGAAATAATTCTTGGAGTAGCTGGTGTTGATAGAGGATTTGAAGATATTGGAAGGAACAATGTTGCTAGGTATGTAGGAAGATTGGGGGAGATGAGCAATATATTGATAGTTCAGAACTGGATAGTGATGACAGTAGGGATGAATTAGATCCTGAAGCTGTGGAAGGTGTTGATTTACCAGCTAGAAGAAAAAGTAAAAAGGTTAGATCTGATCCTGATTGTGTGGTTGCTATATTTGAACTTGGTATGGTATTTGAAAACGCCATAGAATTTAAAAAGGTTGTGGCAGAGTATGCTGTGGAATATAAAGTCAAATTAAAATTGAGGCCTAATGAAAAACATAGAGTCAAAGTTAAATGTCAGCATAAGAAATGCAAATGGTTGTTTTATCCTAGTCTAGACAAAGACTCTGGTGACTTTATTGTTAAGGATTACTATCCCGTTCATCAGTGCCCTACCACAACCAAAAACAAGTTGTGTACATCTAACTTTATTGCAAATAATTTTAGGGACAGAATAGTTTCTCAACCTTATATAAAGTTGTGGGAAATTCAAGAGTTGGTGAGGAAGACGATAGGATTGTATGTTGGAAGAACTCTTTGTTATCGGGCAAAATTGATGATTCTCAATGAGTTTATGGGTGATTGGAAAATGGAGTTTGCAAGGTTGTGTGATTATGCAGACATGATAAAATAAACTAATCTTGATAGTTCATGTTGGGTGAGGACAGACAGGGAATCTACTCCAGGAAAGAATATATTTGTTTACTTTTATGTTAGTTTTGATACATTAAAGAGAGGTTGGTTGAAAGAATGTAGAAAAATAATTGATTTTGATGGATGCTTTCTGAAAGGTGCTTGCAGGGGTGAATTATTAGTTGCAATTGGTAGGAATGGAAATCAACAAATGTTTCCAATTGATTGGGCAGTTGTTGATCAAGAAACAAAGCGCAGTTGGAGTTTCTTCATCAACTTCTTGATACAAGACCTAAACTTAGGCACTGGACATGGATTGACTGTGATGTCTGATATGCAAAAGGTTAGTTTAATGTTAATTTTATTTAATTTTGATCTCATTGCCTATTTATTTAATTATTATTAGTCATAAATTTCAATTTCAATTATTATGATATGTAGGGTCTTGTAGCAGCCATAATGGAGTTGCTGCCAGATTGTGAGCAGAGGATGTGTGCTAGACACACTGGTCCAATTGGCAGAAGAATTGGAGAGGAGAAGAAAAAAGAAAACAATTCTGGAGATGTGCAAAATCAAGTTTTGAGGTAAAATTTCAAGATGAAATGGACAAACTTAATAAACTTGGTAATAAGAAGATCTGTGGGGACTTGTTACATTATGAAAAAAAGACATGGTGTAAAACATATTTTAAGGAGCATGCTAAGTGTGATATTATTGAAAATAATATGTGTGAGACATTCAATTCTTGGATATTAGCTACTAGACATAAATCAATTATCATCATGTTAGAAGAGATTAGACATAAGATAATGGATAGAAATGTTGAGATGAGAAAATTTGTTGACACTTGTATATCAGACATTTCTTCTATGGCAAGTTTAGTACTTGAAGAAAACAAAGATTATGCTAGAGATTGTCAAGTTAGGTTCAATGGCCAATTTGGATATGAAATTTTAGATGGTCATTATAGGCATAACATTGATATCAGAAAGAAGACATGTACTTGTAGAACCTGGCAGTTGAGAGGCATACCATGTCAACATGTTTTTTTGGCATATCAACATGCAGACCAAGACCCTGAAGATCATGTTGTACATTGGTATAGAAAAGATACTTTCATGAAGGCTTATAATTATTTTATCCAACCAATACCTAACATGAAAATGTGGCCTCACACTAGAGATATAGTGATTGAACCTCCTGAACTAAAGCAAATGCCTGGCAGACCACCAAAATGCAGAAGAAAGTTAAAGGATGAGCCAAGAAAGAAGTATGGAAAGTTGTCCAGGAGAGGGGTAAAAACGACTTGCTCCAAGTGTCATCAACAAGGCCACAATAATAAAGCCTACAAATATGTGATAATACTCAAGCCAACTTTTAATTACTTGAATTAAATAGATAAAATGCAATACAATTTTTCTTTTTCTTACTTACACTATTAAATCTTCTGAAATGGGTCAGCCTGGAAGCTCAACCCAACCTGCAAGCTCAAGCCAACCTGCTAGCTCAAGATAACCTACAGGCTATAGCCAACCACCAAGCTCAAGTGTAGGTTCTAGCCAGCCACTAAGCTCAAGGAAACTAACAAGCTCAGGTCAACCTGTAGGTTCTAGCTAGCCACCAACCTGGAGACCATCACAACATGTCAGCTCAGGCCAACAATCAACTTCTATCTGTGATGATACTTCAATTGTTAGAAGAGTTAAACAAACTGGAAGAGGCAGGGGAAGAGGCAGGGGAAAAGGCAGGGGAAAAGGCAGGGGGAGAAGAGGTGATGATACTTCAACTGTTACAGGAGAGCAACAAGCAGGAAGAGGTAGGGGAAGAGAAGGAGCATCAACATCAATAGGAGGAAACAAAAGGCCTAAGACTGTGGGATTTGGCATCTACACTGATGATATAAGTGGCAGATAAACATTAAATGTAAGAGTATAACCAACTTCGATTATTTATAATCTACATTGATAATAGGCACTTATTGAAGTTTCTTGTATACATCCTGGTACA